ACTCACAGATCGACTATCTAATCGGCTAGCCAATCGAATACGCGGCGTAATCTTCCACAGAAGAAATATAATTGCCTGGATTGACTGTAGGAGCAATATCCAATGTTAAAGCTCACCTTCCTACACTAGGCATCAAAGCAGAGTGTTTGAGTAGTGAAGCTACCCGTTAGGTGTATCTTGACGCAAACTTTTGCCCCCACAGATGCTCAACATTAGAACTAACGTCCTGACAAGCCTATTATGATGATTTCAACGAGTGCGTAGCCATAAATATCAAGCTATTATTAGCATGATATTAAACTGAATACATAATATTACCAATGTCATCGAAATAATTAGTAATAGGCAACATTAGCAGCCGTGTACAGCCAAAACAGAAGGAACCTGAATAGGAAAACAAGGAGACATCAACGCTGAATAAAACCGAAGGAGTATGGAAAGAATGTTTCGCTTAAGATGTTGATTAAAAAGTACTCGCTAGAATGAAAGGATCAAAAAAGCGAAGAGAAAATAGGTATGTGAAATGAAAGTTATGGAGAGACAAGAAAGAGTAACCTGGTGAAATAGAATAACGTGGACGGGTCAGGTTGCATACAATGGATTGCTGAGATGTGTTGATGAGTTGATCAAGATCAAAAATTGATTACAAAATATTGGACAAAAAAACGGTAGGTAAATATTGATCCACGCTTCACATTGATTTGTTGCCGGAACAGAAAATGGCAAATAAAAATAAAAATCTGTCAAGTCCATATTCACCTTATATCTCAAAATGGGGGCAGGACATTCAGCGAGGCACTACCCGCCACCGCACTGACATCGACTTGGTGCCTGAGTAGTCCCGGGAAATCAAAGAGGAGTGGTTGCTGTTGAAATGTAAAACCTGATACCGATGTCTGGCAGCTGAGTTTGAGATCTGCGCTTCATGAAGCTTCTGAATAAAATCTTCATGAGGGTGAAAATGTAGTTGGGGGGTGCCAGCGCCCCCTTGTGCTCTGCGTCTCTGACACCATTCCGCACAATGCATAGAGACCGTGCTAGGGCGCAGAGATGGTTTCATCCCCCGACTAAAAGCTAAGGGATGAGCTCCNGGGTGGGAGAGATGATTATCTCGAGCAAAAAGCTGGGATGGGGTGAGAAATGAACACCCAATTGGTTCACCCACCCCGGAGCTCCTTCCCTAACTTTTGAAAGGGGAGGAGCTCCGGGATGGGCGAGATGATTAGATAGGGTGAGAATTGAAGAGACGCAGAGCACAAGAGGGCGCTGGCACCCCCCAACTACATTTTCACCCTTCATGAGAATACTATGTTCACCTTCAACCGTTTTTGAGTACTATAAAGCTTTGTATGTTAACGTATACTTTTCATGAGAATTGATAGGGTTTATCACAAGGTTCCATCGGGTCAAGCAGAAGTTGGAATGCTTTGGTTAACTATTTAGTATAACTTGATCTTCTGAAAAGTTTGCCATCATCTATAGTACCTTGATCTTTTGTTTGCTATATAATCCAGGATAAATATAAATTCCCGAAAGACGACATCAATTGGGGTATTGCTGACTATCCTTCTAATTGGAGAATGGGAGTCGAAGAATTATTGGTAACGTATCACCATGCAGGTGGAAGCAAAAGTGAACACATATTTAAAAATCACGACGCATTGTAGGAAACGCCACGTACTTAATCCATGACAGATTTTGGAAGAGTAATGGATGTTGGAAAAATTGGAGACAACCAGATGCCAAAGAGTAAAGTGGCTAATGAAAAACACAGTATAATCGCTTTCATTTGTCAATTGAAAGGCAATGGAATGTCGCACTAGCTGGCGCTGCCGATGTAAACTTCCGCTTGCATAACAAAAACAAATAAAATCACACTGAATAAGCAAATTCCTTCTATAACGAAGGACGGAAAAACAGCTAAATCATGCATTATCACTGAGAAGTTGAAGGTTCAATCCAGATCTCCTAAGGTGAGTGGGATTCACCATGGCCCCAACTTTCGACAGATTTCACAGCCATGATGAGTTGCCTCCTTCAATAGTTCCTTTAATTTGTTATTTTATTACTTTCATTGAGAATGTAAACGTTGTCTTCTCATCAATCAACTGAAATGTTGCTCCAGATTTTGACTCCCACACTCAATTGTCTATTGTGCAACAGCTCTATTAATTAATTTAATGTACGATTACTACCACAACTACTACTGCCACATCTAGCAGAACATGAATCCTGTCATGTCTATCAAGGAGCAAAAGCTGAGAACTAGGCTTTCTATGCCTCTCACTCAAATTCTCTTGAACCGGGATACGTATGATTCACATTTAAATTCAAAAATTAAGCACTGTACCGCACCTAGACTTAACAGACTGAAGGGTTTCTGTTTTGGTTCTCTAAAGTGCCTATGTTGACAATTAGACGTTCTCATGATCACGTGATAGAAACTTAACTCAAGGTTTAGCTGATCTATTCAAAAATTCAGCAAAATACATCCTACAGCTTCGGTCCTGCCTGAGGGATGCGTACTGCATCCGCTTCCATTCAGAATCGTAATGGCTTATTGAATACGTATGTGGCCTACACAATGTTTTGCAGTGGCCAGCCGATGTATAGGCCAATGTTTCCGTCCTACAGACGATTCCGATACCTATAACCACCCCAAAAGTATGGAAGGTTTGTTTGGCCAAGGCGGATACCGAGCCGGAACTCGAATCCACGGCTATTTATTTAATTATGTATGAGGATTATGTAAGAGGTGATAGTGTGCCACTTGCCGCTACACTACCTACGCCCATAACAAAAATAAAAAACACTACCATACGAAAGTACAACCATAGGAACTATAAATGACAGACAGTGGGGCAGAATGAATCTGACAAACTAGAGTTATTTTTAGTAAAATAGTGAATCTTGTCACAGTTAGAGGAACACTAATTATAACAGGTTTCTGTGAAAGACATCCATAAACAGAATGCAAGCGACATTTTGTAGCGCTAATTTCAGTGCTGATTGACATTTACTATTTCGAAAACAAATTCCCAGGTGCACCTCAGTCGACGTACTGGAGAAAATCTGATCTTGCTCAACCCATTGGCGACCGCGCCTTTCACATTGTCCTTACATTAACTTTTAATTTCTCTTATAACTGTAGTTGGAAGTGAACGATTCCTGGACCACGATGCCTCAAGATTCTCTNTGAGCTCAGCTGATCCTTGAAAACATGAAAAAATTATAAGAGCATTTGATAAATAATATAAATACTCAGAAGCACGATATGGTGTAGCCCAGGGCGGGCCTCGAGGTCGTCAACGGGTTAATCCATAGAAAGACATCTGGAACGACACATTCGATAACAAAGACCCTACTATAATGTGTCATCAAATAGCAGGTACGAGTTTCACTCCAAATTTTTCGCCACTTCCAAGATACGCACTCGCCTTGAAATCGACGGTACTTTTTTCGATAAGTTTATCATACTCAATTTTTCTCAAATCCCGAACAAGCCCGACTGTACAAACAAAATGAGCAATGAGAAAATTTATAAATTCGAAACCATTATGATGGTATGTTCATATTAAAACAAACAATGTAGAATCACCAATAAATTTTATAAGGGATAGGTTGACTCTGAAGCTGAGCCAGCTGGATGGACGAGAAGTCATTCCGACCTGAAACAGCAAGTCAGCTAGAATGAATCGCTTAGATACAAAGAATTGTGCAGTTCTTTTTCATATTCTCTTAAATCATTCTTAGCTCTATAACTGTTTAATCGAGCGGAGGAGTTTTGGCTCCTGTTCGCTCGAGATGCTGTTAAACCTTCAACTTACTTTATAGAGCAGCAAATGAGAAAAGAAAATGAAACGAACAGAAAAAATCAACCTTTACATCTTGAGAGGGTCGATTTTAGCCAATTTCTTAGCATCGGCAGCCTTCGCTGCATCGTCTGCAGCCTTTTTCGCAGCCGCCTTCTCCTGTTTCAGTCGCATTACTTCGGCATCACGAATCTTTCTTGCATCTGTTGAGAGACCCTGAATGAATGAGCTCAAACTAATTTCGCACACAAGCCTTGGTCAAATTCAAGGATTAGTTCCACATTCTGTTAACAATCCAAGAAATTACTCTCTCCTCAACTTCTGCGTTATCGGCGCAAAAATAATCCCGTCACATCAGTATCAATTGGAGCAGTTTCTCTTGATAAACTCTTGAAGAACTGATATCTACCATTTCCTAGGGGACAAAAGATCAGGGAACGAAACACAACAATTACGTAAAGAAGAGAAACTGCCTTAAACCTCCATGTCAGTGTGTCATGTCCACCGCATGCCAGAGAATTCACGAAAATTCAAATGAATTGCAAGAATTATTTCGATGTGTAAAAACCTATTGATTCGCTTAGGTCGTCATTCAATTGGATTCAGGTGTGGTGCAGTTGGATCTGCCTAGGCGAGCCTCTTCGAACAGAATCTTGAAAAGAGACATATAACAGAGGAGAGGAAGAGCCTATCCAAAGTTTTTGAGTAGCAATCTTCAGTAGGAGTTATCTTCCGCCCCATAATTTGCTTTTCAATTCGAACCGTTCCCATTTACGTTTTCCAAATTGATTTCTTCTCCGTAATAAATCTGCCTATTTATTCATGGTTTGAGAGACGAACCAGCATCTCTGGGGATTATACCAAAAGACACACATCGACCAGCAGCTGAGCAGACGCACTTGTATTTCATATAAAAATAGCTGTGTTGAGACTGAGATGCTGTGAGGTCACTCACCTTGTCCAATCTGACTGGCCGTCTCTTAATTGGATAACTTTATTTCGAATTACCAATAGAATTGGAAAACCTAGGAGATGATATTGATGCAAAATTGGAGGGAAGAGTGCTACTCTCAAAGACTACTAACACATTAATGAGTAATCGATTAAAACTAGTAGGAACCATCAAGATTATGTTATTGGAAGCCTTCCACCACAGACATCTTTGCGGTGGTGCATAAGTAAGGTAAGAGAGATAGCACGTAGGATCGGTTATAGTTGTGTAAAATCAAAAACTTGATTATAAGCCGCGAACACGGAGAAGATAAAAAAGGGAACTTTCATACCCACCAAATTCCCTTCCTTCGCAGCTGCTCCAGCTTTTTTCTTCTGTTCCAACTGTTTTTTCAGGTTCTTCTCGCGAGCAAGATCCCGTTGATTTCCACCTAAGCAATGGTTTACGTCAAATAAGCAAGTTTCGCGTTCAGAATGTTTACGGCACTGAAATGCTCCCAAAACAGGAAAGTCCGTAGGCTTCATATCGAACAACTACCTTCCGATATTACAAAAACTGATGACAAGAACCTTTCCGTTTCTCACTGCTCACTGAACACCATCCACGCTAACCAGGAAAGGATACCAAGTCGCAGGGGCCATTCAAGATGAGATGTATACCGACGTAGGAGTTTCAAACGCTGTTCTCAAATCTGGGTTCCAAATCTGCGAAACGATTCTGAGAACAGAGTTACGGCTCCCCTTTCCCCAAGCGTTATGTCACTTTTTCGCTTTTATATGAGAACCAACCGGTAAAGCACATGCGGCGATGGCGCTGTTGGGAGGACGACGGACTGGTAGGCGTGGTACGGAAGATCGAGTCTTTGATGAGTGCGCTTGCTTTGCTTCTTTATAAAAAGTGTCCTAAACTCTTGCAAAACCCTTTTACGCATCATATAGACCATTTACAGCCCTCCTTCACATTTGCGCAGCACCAGAAATGCTAATACAAATAAATTTTTTCGTCGGCCCACAGAAAATTGCGCGTTCCAATTCCAGTGAACTTCGGTAACACAAAAAGAAATACAATGTTTCGACAATTGGTCAATAATAATAAAAAAAGGAAAACTCACGCGTCATGATGGTAGCCTGTCAGAACCGGCACTGATTTTGCACTGCTCAGTAGCAGGAATAATAAACAAGTATTCTGCAAAAAATCCACTGCNATTTACAGCCCTCCTTCACATTTGCACAGCACCAGAAATGCTAATACAGATAAATTTTTTCGTCGGCCCACAGAAAATTGCGCATTCCAATTCCAGTGAACTTCGGGAAAACAAAAAGAAATACAATGCTTCGACAATCGGCAATAACAATAAAAAAAGGAAAACTCACGCGTCATGATGGTAGCCTGTCAGAACCGGCACTGATTTTGCACTGCTCAGTAGCAGGAATAATAAACAAGTATTCTGCAAAAAATCCACTGCATACATTCATTCCATGGTAATAAACCGTAAGTTGTTGTGTAAAACGAGAATTGACTATAGAGTGCACACTGAGAAAAAAAAAGAATGTTTCACGACCACAGAAAAGCAAACACATCGTTTCCCTCAGACCGAAATCAATCAATCAATAGGCAGAATGTGTCGATTCTATTCTTGCTAAAGCTATCCGATTCGAACAATTTCGGAAAAACTCGCTGAGAAACAAGTTTCCGAAAGGCAAAGAAGCACAAATGGGCGGTGTGTCTACATGTTTGCCGAGACAGGAAAGGTGGTAGGCGTGCTGTAAGGCTGCTATATAACACAGTATACCTGTTCGAAATATCCCATCGTGTATTAATAAATCAAAATCGTAACAGCGAAAAGCATAGCCGAAAAGCCTCGGAGAAAGTAAATATAGAAAATAATAAAAAGTAAAATTGAACTCGCGTCAAATAAACTCCAAAAGGCTCAACTAGGTTCGGCGATCAAATCAGAGTTCCTGATGGTCATGTGTGTTGCTCACACGAAGAACCATTCAAAAACACTGGTTCTACAAAATGAGCAATGACGTACCAAGTTTATACGCAAAAGAAACGCTCAAAACCCTTAAAAACACTTAAAGGAATAAACTCTATTTGTAAGATAGAATACTGTGAGTTGCTCTAAAGAAAGAGGAAAGTCTCATAAGAAACGTCCATCAACTTCGTTCCAAGTTGGGCCAATAAAAGTTAAAACCTGGACAGAAAATAATGCAAACTTTCAACCATCAGCAGCACGGAACCAGGAACAAGTATCTTCGGCTTTGGGTTATGGAAAGAAGGAAGCTTAATACCATTTGGAACATTGTAAAGTACAAGTACTCAATATCATTCGATGTCACAAGAGCAACTGCACAGAGATATATATAAACTATTCATTCAGTATGCAAAATTTTCATCTGCTGAGTAAATCACAGCATTGTACTTTCGATAGCAGCCAAGTTTATCTGAATGATCCTGCCTTCTCAGATAAGGTTGTCACAAATCATCTAGCATAGATCACTAGAAACCCAAAATCCTAGTCTGTCATAATGGCAGCCGAGCTGCTTAAATATTCACAACTTTAGTTTACTTGAACAGCAATGTGCTCCCTATAATTATAATGCAGCTGAAGAAGGTGTGTGAGCTTTACTTTAGTTTGCTGCAGTTTCTATACTACTGCACCGTAATGACAGTCTTGAGCCATCTTATGCCCGCCGTAAAACAAATCCCGAGGAATGTCGGCAAATTTGATGAATCTCTATAAAAAGAAAAACGAGCCATGTAGAGTGTAGCGATCGGCTCAGTATCTCTGTGAAGTATCACGGTGAAACGATCGCTGTATTAAATTTCAAACGGGGTTGCAAAATGGAAAAAAAACGAAAGACGGTCAAGAATATGTCATGTGGAATAGCCAAGGTCCTTTGCTATATCACATCACAGCTCAGAAGGAAAACAGACGGCTAAGAACAACGTGTATCGAACAGCATCTGTCCTTTTGCAGGGGCTTTTGCACCTGATTCCACTGAGCAAATAAGGAAATAATGAAAAAAAGAAAAAGGCTTATGGCCACAAAACTCGGACCAACGGGGCCAAGGAATCAAATCCAAATACGGAGCGAAATAAACATAATCCTTTCTAAAGTTCCAACGTGGAGTTACCCAACGACGTGCACGAACGAGAAGAAACCGGTGCATCGAGTGGTTAAGACGACGACTGAATCGAAATGAACGAAAGGCGACGCGGGGAGGTGGGTGACGGTGATGCGAAATAGCACGGTTGAATCGGAGGGAGTCAGCGGAAACCATCTACAGGTCAGCCGACCCCATCGATGATCCACAAGTGAGAGTGTAAGGAATGTTCGAACGAAGTTCAACACAGGTGAGGTTGGACTTTGTTCGGGATATCATAATCAAAACATTAAAGTGACCACAAAATTCAATGGTAATCAAAGTAGTTACCATTGGTAGATATTGGCTAGTTACAAGGTTCAGAGGAAATGAATAAGAGACGGTTCGAAGACATCTAATCACTATTACTGCAGGCAAGTACGGTTTACGTAACAGATGGATTGAAAAAATGAAGTAACTCTGCACAAATGCAACAAGTGCAGATAAATGTGTAGCGAAGAACACTCAAACAAAAAAAAGGTAATGGAATTTTAACAAACAGAGAAGCTGATCGTGGTCAGATACTGTCCATAAAAAAACTTGCCTCCCAGTGAGTAATTGACCCCAAAAACGTACACTTAGTTGGGGATTGTTACAGATACGTCACCGAATGAAAGGGAAGTGCGACCAGCTGCGTATCAGAGAGTTGAACCATATGCAACCAGTAAAAGCAAGCAACCACGGCAACCAGTTCAAGTGACAGTGCAACGCTAACTGCTGAGTTTCTGAACCATGCATACTCACTGAAATCAATGACATATTCGCCAATACATCAGAAGGTGAGGCAGGAACGCGTAGTGATCCTGCGATGAAAAATGGAGACATGGAAAACAACTCAAACAGCAGACACTCCATTTGAATTCATCTTGTGTCCAGATAGTTCGCGCTTCTTCAAATGTGAGTATAAAAATGAGGCACAAATCCTTTGAAGGCCTGTTCTAAGGTCCGGCGGAAATACAAAAAAATGAGTAGGCGAAGTTTCCGCGACAAAGCCAACCGGTTTCCGCCAAAAAAAGGTTCATTCTTTGCTTGGTGCACATTATAAGAAGCGAGATGGTGTGCATAGAATGAATAATACCAATGCTAGAAAAAGTTATTCGTACTTTTCACTACAACGAGCCGACAATTCAGCAGTAGGTCTAGTAATTAGTAGAATGCTAGAAAAGCATTACTCGTCCAAGAGCCAAGACTGCCTGCCTCCTCTCATCTGGTCCTTCTGCGTCGGTCACTGATGACAGTATCTACTGCTGATTGGGTCGCGATGATTACGACGACATCATGTTAAGGAGATCAAGTTGCTATCCTAAATGTAGGCAAAAAACAGATCACCACATGCTGACAAGATGACGAAAGCATAAAAATGATTTGACCAATGGCTGCTCACTGTGCAGCCATGGCCCACCACTGCATTTGTACACAAGGACTTCAATAAGCAGATATAAATTAAGATCTACACCTAAATACACTCGACGCTTCCACAGAGGGATGCTAAGAAAGCTCCCTACATATAAGCGCATAAGTTGTTTGGCGCTTAAGACAAGAGAGTGGAAGAAACAAAAAAAAACGAACTGAAAAGATAAAACGATAGAAAAATCAGAAATACTAATCACAAACGGATATCAATACGTATGGCTTTAAACCACAATGTGACGACCTCCGGAAGTGATCAAACAACTTTATAACGACAAACATAACGAATTTTGGAGAAAACACACTCGAAGTTCAACTTCTGTTGTAATATAACACAAAGTAGGGAAGCACAAGTGTACAAACAAATTTTATGTTACACAGCATTTCGTTACTTTTCAAGTGGATGGTAATTCAAAAGCTTCTCTATCAAATCGACATGAGAGAGCAACATTCGCCGACAACAGTATCGGCGCAAATTTAACGCATCAAGGGCATCACCTGAAATGTGACATTCGAAGTCTACAACACGAACGAGGTGGACAAAAGGGGTTACACATCCATA